CAGACCACCGAGCCATCCCACCAGCCCTAGGTTCCTAATTCTTACCCCGCCTATTTCCCATAGGTCTCCTGCTATGCCCAGAGGTGGCACTTCCTGTCAGCCCGGTTGCCTAGTTACTCGCGCCTTTTACCCGCTGACGTCATTTCCCTGCGCCTCCACTATATATACCCAGCACCTCCCTGAATAAACGAGATGAGACTTGATCAGAATCCTGTCTTGTCTCCATTTCTCACATCTCCTGTCCTTTGTCCCCTCTTCAATTCCCCGCTCCTCCCTCAGATGACCTTCGTTGACTGACCCGCTGGCTCAGGACAATTTATTACCCTTTAAAAAAAAACCAGCTTTACTTGAGAGACGGTATGGCAATAACTGGTATGTCATGACAAGAAGTACATATTTAGAAGGCCAGGATGGCAGGCACTCCAAGCGTGCCCCCTCTGCTACACATCGCCATCCTCAGTGCAGCGCCTGGCTCACGGGCACCAGCATATACAGTTAGTCAGGGTGAGAATCTCACCAGCCAAGCGCTAGTCTCAACAACCTCCAGATGTCCCGCAGGGTCACTGCCCCACCCCTCTCGTGCGTACAACTGCATGATTTTGCCCCCGTCATGTTTCCCAGCTTTTCTCCTTGCCCACTCCTCATTGTCCAATCCTCAAGTTCTTGCTTTCCTTTTATTTGTGTTGTACCTTTCTATATGTAATTCCTCTTTTGAGTTCTTATACTACGGAGACAATACGCTATTTATACATGTGGGTCTGGTTTATTTCACTTATATCTTCAAGTGGCATCCACTTAAATATAAAGGTTTCAAGTTTATCATTCTTTATAGCTGAGAAATGCTCCATTATATGAAAGTACCACATCCTTTTCAGCCATTGCACATGTGTCAGGCGTCTTGGTTGTTTCCAAGATCTGGCTATCGCACAGTGTGCTGCTGTAAACATGGGCGCACATACATCACTATGATATGACGCTTTCAGTTTGTTACACACTGGCTTTCCACTTCCCCAGCTTTTCAAAATGCATGGTTAGCTTTAAAACAACTCCAATGTTAGAAATTGAAAGCTACGCAATTAACAGCTCACCCCACAGGCCCTGGCTGGCTGACCCCTGCTTGGAGACACAGCAGCCCCTCCAAGCTCTCCCGCCTCTCCTTAGTTACCTTGGGAGCCCACACAGCTGGCTGCTCACCCCCACCAGGACACCAAGGATCTGGAGGATATTCCAGGGTGATCCTCTCCCCACCGACACCCTGCAGCCTCAGGGGCATCTGCCTGGGTCCTGCCGTCCTCGAACACGTTTGTTGCTAGTCACTGCCCCCTTCATAGGACGGATTCAGGATCAGGCAGATCCTCAAAAGCAAAGCCACCCACACTGCTAGGGCAGGAGGTCAGCGGTGAGGCACCCACCAGTGTCCTGGGAGACAGAATGAGAGATGTTGGTGGTAGAAAGAGAAAAATAAGTGTTATTTATTTATTTATTTATTTATTTATTTTGGTGGAACCAGGGATTGAACTCAGGCCCTTGCCCTTGCCAGGGAAGTGCTCATTCTACTGAGCCATCTCCCCAGCCCCAAAACAAGTGTTTTAAAGAATGTGTGAACCAGCATAGTGACACATCCCTGTAATCCCAGCATCCTGGAAAGCTGAGGTAGAAGGGTTGCAATCTGAGCCCAACCAGGGAAGCTTAGTTACTTAACAAGGCCCTGTCACTAAATAAAAAGTAAAGGGCAGGGGGTGTAGCTTGGTTCAGAGGACCTGGGCTCTGTCCTCAGCTGTGGGAAACCAGGAGCACATGGTTTGTGCAGCTATGGTAGAGCCCAGACCACACTTCCTGTGCATCGGGCCAGGCATGGGGCAGATCCCAGGTTCCGCAGCCTTCCACCCTCTCTTCTAAGGGAGGTCTCTGTACTTCATGGCCACCATGCACAGGTGCTGAGACCTCCTGCGCCCATGCAGCTGCTGCAGGCATCTGCGGGGCTCCTTGCGTTAGGTGTTGTTCTCAGTTACTGCAGTGGACTCTCCGAAGCTAGGAACCTGGCACAGAAAGTGTCTGGAGGTTCAGGGAGCACAGCAGGTGGCGTTGCAATGGCAGGAACATTGTGACAGGCAGAGA